GTGGTGCTGGGGGATTGAACCGCGGTCCCTGATGCCTTGCCAAGCTTGTTCTAAGTAGGTGCTTTAGACCACTGAGCCATCTCTCCAGCCCCCGTATTTGTTTTTGAGGAGCCCTTCCTTCCCAGAGAAAGCTGGTTTGGTGATTGGTTGTCGTATTTGGTTTCTTTTCTGATATTCACAGTTGCAAAATTCCAACAATGTGGTAATTCGTTATTAGTAAACACCTATAATTTTAACTGTTTGAAGTCAGGAAGCTACTTTTTAGATAACCAAAATAGCCAAGATTTTATGGGGACTTATTCAGAAGTAAATATAAGTAGCATTACTGCTATGGAGGTAAAACTTCCCTTAAGAAATGTGCACAGACTACAGAGATGTCGCTAGGTGAAGCATGCCCGTGTGGCTCGGGACCTGGACCCCAGCGCCATTACCATGTGAAATTACCAGAATAATTTTTAGAGTCACAGCATTTGAAACACTAAGAGTAGAAGAACAGATACCACATAGAATTGAAAAACTCAGCAATTTACCATGAATCAAGTTAGACTGAAGCTATTACCCACAACTTTTAGAATGAAAACAAGACCACCATCACCAAGAGAACAAGATTCAGATTTGAACCACTTACCATCTCTGATAGGTGAGAACATGTCTCCTAAACTACTTTTTTCTGTGTCATCAAAGCTGGAGAAATCCTGAGTTCTTCCACTGTCTGTTTCCTTGGACAAAATATCTGTATTTATGCTTCGAGGCAAACCTTAGAAGAATTTGATATAAAATTCAGTATTACTATCCTACTAAAGTTAACCTCAAAAACTACTTTGTAAAAATTAACATATTACCACATTGTTAGAATTTTGCAACTGTAAACATTAGGAAAAGAAATTAAATATAAGAACCAATCTCTGGACCAGCTTTCTCAGGGAGGGAAGAGCTTCCTGAAAACAAATACAGTAGCTTATTTGTTCATATTGTAACATTTGATAAGGATACCCATTTTGATAGTCTTTTTTCTTAAAAAATGTACATATTTTGTTGCCCTCTTAAAGTATACTGAATGCAACTTACTTTTGTCACTAACCCCTATGGTCAGAAGTGATAGGGGAAAGCCTGCCAGCATAAACACTATGCACCTGACACGCAACAGGACTCGACATCAGGTCCCCAACTGCCAGACCGTGGGTCTCCTTCTCCCCATTCTGTCTTTCACTAACAGCAAAATACCTCAACATAACTGACTGTGACTGCACATGACTTCTCTGACTTCTGTAGACTACCAAGAGCATGGAAACCAGAATCTCAGGCTCATGAAGAAGAGCACAGTAGGGCCAGGGAGACAGCTCAGCGGCCTAAGTATCTGCCTGAAAAAAGAAGAGCACAGTAGACAACACTAACTGCCTAGGCTATTTCTTCTGGCAGTACACAACACATGACTTTAGGGCAAAGGCTTTGTAAGAACCCTGCAGGCTCTGTAGCTTCTTGCTTGTTTCTGATTTAAAAATGGATTTTTGAGATTAAAAAACATAGATTAAAACCTGCTTCTAAGCTGGTAACATGTTGCTATACTACATTTTTAAAAGTGGTGTTTTTTTTTGGTTTTTTTTTTTTTTGGCATCTCAGGCTGAACTGAAAACTGTAAAGCCTATGATAAAAACAAAGAGCAAGTATACTGCATATTCAAACTGTTCAAGCTTTGTTAATAAAATTAACTCCTTAATTACAACTGCTGCAGAATTTAAACAGAATAGTATCTTTTCTACATCACAATAATTGAGACGTGTTCACACCGCCAGCTTTCCATTTCTCTAGGTCTGGATATGTCTGAATGCCTAACTCTAGTCTCTGCGCTTCACAAAATAGTAGTTCGGGACTGGCTAAAAACAGTGCAAAGATCTCATTTTTATACTTCTTAAATGGCTGTTTCCTACCAAAAATAAACAACAGGAAGAGGTTGTAGAGGTTTTTTCCAATAATCAAATATGTTTAGTAGAAGCAAACAAATGAAAAAAATTTAAAATGGTCTGGGGATGTAACTCAGTACGAAGGCCCTAGGTTAAAGCTCCAGTTTAAAAAAAAAGCCATAAACAGAAGTTCAGAACAGACAGAAAAAGAGCACTCTGTGAACGTCTCAAAAACATCATTTGAGTTCCAGGTTCCTGAAAAAATTGCTAATTATAAACACTTGGGGAAGGAAAAACCTCCCAATACCACAGAAGTAACATTTACCTGCTTTGTCCTGCGTGCCGGTGGGGCCTTTGGCCAGAGCTGCCGTCAGCGGCTGCGACAGAACTGGGGCGCTGGTGGCGGGGGCTGCTTCCCTGGCGACCCCGGAACTCTGAGCCCCTCCCCCCGCCGAGCTCACAGAGATGCTCCGTTTGCTCACTGCTGTGGCCTTATTTGAGCAGCCTTTACTTAAACTTGACTGAAAAGAAATGGAACATTCAAAAGCTCAGGTTACTAATGTCATACTATGTATTAATATTTTATAAAGTCCCTGTTAGGTTAAAAAATTCACTTTTCCTTCACAAATCTTAAGTTTGCTTGTAGAACTGAGTTTCCCTTTGTACTAAAACAAACTTTTAAAACACTTTCACACAGATATATGAGAATGAAGCACTAAAATTTTAAACTAAGAATCAGATGGCTTGTACTAAATAAAATTTAAAATGCTATTATATAAAAATGAAATATTACTTTGACACCATGCGTTTTCCATATTTTAAGCTGAATTTTTTTAGTAAAATCAAAAATGCTAAAAAGAAAACAACCCACTTTCGTGAGCGCAGCGGAGCACTGAAATGCTATACACTGCACAGATGTCTTGTGCGCACTGATGGTTTTCACCGGCGGCTTCAGCATCCTTAAATCATACTGATAGATCTTCCCCCGGGACGAGCCAATAGCCAGAGTGGCTCCATCGGACATGAAATCGACTGCAGTCAGGGGAGCATCGGCCACTAAGGTTTTCACCAGCCTTTGAGGAAAGGAACAGAGTACATGCAGACATGTTTACACACACAGGCATGCAGTTCACATGAACACATTATTACCAATCGAATTATCCAGCATTGGCCAAATAGCGTAACAGCTCAAATACTTGTTTAAAGTAGAATTTCAGCTGCCTTTGAGACATTTCTAATAAAATGTCAGGTAAAGGGCAGCTGAACAGCATGCACGAAAACACAGTGATACCCAGTACTTTGTACAATAATAGGCACTAATAAAATATAGTTAAAGTAATAAAAACCTGCAAACAGACCTGCTGAGCACCCCCCATCTGCTCTTCACTTCCGGGCCCCTGCTAGCGCTCCCGAGCAACCCAGCTGCCTGAGGACGGCCACGCGGGACGGCACTACTCAGTGCTGCTCTACACCGGAAGCCCCCGCCTCAGGGCCAGGCGGCTCCACATGTCCTCCTTCCACTTAGGGCCCTGCTTAGGTCTCAGGGGGCTACGACCTTTCACAGGACTGCATCTGCTCCTCTGGACCAAACAGCTAAGAGGAACAGAGTCCACTCGAAGCGGAATGCACTGCTGGCGCCTCCTACGAGTGAAAAATGGCTTACACGTCGAGTTCTCAGTAAATTATTTCAACAAAAAACAGAGGTATAAAGAACAGTAAAACCTCTAGCATTGTAACAAGGTCTACTCGCTAATAGGAACATTAACAACCCACATGATCCTTCAATGTCTTGAAAACAACCGCAGAATTCCTGCAGCTGGTTTTTGTGGGGGCTGGGGGGGGGGGCAGGGAGCGAATCAAGCATATCTATAACCTAAAAGGAGGCGGGGGAGACAGGAGCGTAACAGAACATTATGTACCTAACTGGTGGCAATTTTGTCCCTGGGGCTATCTGGCAATTTCTGGAGACAGTTAAGGCTGTCACAACTCAGGGAATGTTATTGAGATTTAGTGGACAGAGGCCAGGGATGCTGCCAAGTATCCTCCAATGCCCAACACAGAGCCTGCAACGAAGAGCTGGCTGCCCAAAGGTCACAGTGTAGAAACTCTGCCCCAGAAATGTGAGAGAACATTAATCATGTTCTTTAAAAATATGTTTGTTACATTTTGAAAAAGAGTAAGTGTGCTAAAATAAGGGTGTGAAATCATTAAGATGCGGTCCCTAACACACTTCCCAGAACTACCCTAAGATCCACTCCTTTACCCACCTCACCAGATACAGCGAGTGTACAAAGAGATGTATGTGTGCTAACTACTGATACGTATGTGTGCTAACAACTAAGGAACTATGTGTTACTAAATTGAGAAGTGAGTATCTCACACTTACTTCTTACATGAAGTGTCATACAGGATGATTCTTTTATCCAAGCCTATGGTCACAAATAGCAGTTCATTGACAGGAGAAAAACAGATGCCCGAGGCTGGAGCTTTATGTGTACTGCCAAAGTTATGGTACGGGCTCTGACTGTTCACGTCCCAGAGAGTGACCAGTCCGTTATCGGAAACACTGCCCAGCAGTGACTTCTTATACACTGAGTACCTCAAATGCCGGACAGACTAGAAAAAGAAAAGAATAAAGTTCATGTCATTATGTAAACTATGAAAGTCAACTACACCATTCATGTGAGGGATAGGACTTCTCTGGTTTAAAGAGTGACCGATTTCGATCACTACTATCAATGTTATTTAGAGGGTTAGAAGATAATCTTGAAACATAAACACTCTATTGAGTATGTTTCAGGATTTTATCATCTTGGAGTATAGCATCCTCAATCTTTTTTTCAGAAGAAAACTGAAATCAGTATGTTGAGATTACCCACATTAATTAATCAAGGTATCTACCATACATACAGAAACCAGTAACATTCATATCACAAACAAGTGTCAGAAAACACTGAGAGATAATAAATAATCATTTCACATTTTCTATATATATTTCAGATACTTGGATATATTTGTTTGAATCTGAGAATGTGATGAGTTGGTGGTGACATAACACCTGGAGCGTCCCAAGACATCAAGTCACAAAGGAAGACCTGACAGCTCTCCAGATGGGCGCTGAACCGCAAGGCAGGGCGGCCTTCCCAGGACTGCGAAGACCTCTCCCTGCCTAGCTTAGCTGGACCAGAACAGATCCAGTTTAGTAAGCAGATCTCAGGGAAAAACTCGCTGAATTTCACTTTTACTTAAGTATGACTCTCAAACTTGTACAGATAATAACAATTAAGTAACTACTTAATTTACTATGCTGAGAATTAGTTATTTTGCATTTAAGTTAATGCATATTCTATTTAACTTTAAATTAAGTGAACACATGTTTAAAATACATTTGCCTCCAACAGGAAAAAAAAAATTTTTAGGAATAACAAAAACAAATTCTGACTAAGAAAATACCAAACACCTAAGGTAAAATAATTACTGTGTTCATCCATTAAATTTGGTTTCTCTATTCCATATGCTAAAGTACAAAAAAAGTTCATTTATATAGTTTCCATTTTTGCTGAGAAAAAGTATATTTGTTTACACAGACAAGCCTTCATTCTGATTTACCTTCAAGGAAAAAAAGAGCTACACGACTCTAGACTACACAAGACACAGAGATTCTTAGTGAGTTATACCTGGCGTTTGTAGATGCACATGCCAATCAAGAAAAACACTGATTTGTCAAGGATCTCTGCAGCACTGTAAGAGCGCACAGTTATGATTTTTTACATGATCTAAATTGGATGAAACGATCAAACAGAATTAAAACAACACTAACTTCGTAAGATCCCAGAATTGATCTTAGTCAGAGCAGGATGTTCCCAAAACATCCTTGAAATATTGTTAGTGTTATGCAGAACAAAGAGCTTACTGCTTTAATAAAACTTTATAAATAGCTAATAATGCTTTTTTTTTTTTTTTTGTTAAGTCGAAACCTAAATTCCAGATATTATTTCAAGCTCTAGAGACCTACGTGGCAACCTATTAAGAAAAAAAGAAAGACAGATAATCCTAAGTGCTCCTCTCAGACAAACCTGGCTGCAAGTGGAGGCTCAGCACACTCCTTACGATTCAGGGAAACGCCTGAAACGCCCCAGTCCTCAGCCCTCCCACTTAGAAGACACAACGCTATGCTTCCATTCACACGCTAAGACCACGCTGAGGGCCAAATCGCATCTGCACAGATCCAGATACGCGGGCGGCAGCTGTGTCCGCTCCTCACAGGCTCACACCCTCCTCGTTCACTTCAGCTCTCGTTCCATCATCCAATCATCTCTTACAGATACTCTCTAGAAGAACCTTGAAGAAAAGCACACTAACTTCCTTAAATATCTGTTGTTAACCTTTGATAATATTAATAAGAAATCATCTTTTCTCACCTTTCTGCATCTACTAAGTCACCATTTCTTTTAGGGTATCAAGATATTAGCTAACAGTGATCCTATAGTACAGCCAGTATTCTGTGACATTATTTTAAAAAAACTATGAATTCCTTTTGGTACCCGCAGTACTCACTAAGCACTTCTCTTATTACAGGTAACTATTTTGAGGAGGGGACTACCAAGAAGCTTACGGAATAAAACACTCTAGCATCATAAACAACAATGATGTTTTTCTTACAGTATATTATACTATGTAAGACTAAATGTGCTAGTGAAGTTCATTTATAAGTATAAACACAGAACCCGCACTAGAGGTGTTTTCTAATTTTTTAGACAGGGCTTCCCTGTACAGCTCAGGCTGGTCCTGAACTCCCTCTGTAGCTCAGGCTGGCCTTGAACTCACAGACATCCTCCTCCCTCAGCCTTCCAAGTGCTAGGATTACAGGATGTGTGCCACCACATATGAGTGATAAACACTTTAAAGGGCTAAGTAATAAAAACATTTTGCTGTTGTACTGCAAAAGCAGGTAGAGAAAACATATGAATGACCAAGGTCATGTTCCAATAAAATATGATTTACAAAATTAAGCAGGCAGTCCATGCTAACCTCTGTCAAAGGTATTTGAAGTTGTTCTTTCTTTTTTTTTTTTTTGTATTTTAGGGAAGGGTCTACAGGATGTTCAGAGTCTCACTACTAGATCCTGTAGTGATCTGCCTGTTAACAGTCTCCCAAGTGTTGGGATCACAGGCGTGCACCACCATGCTGTCTCAATAGCCACTGCAGCACACCCTGAGGGAGGGGCCAACACGGCAGGTCTGGGAATTGAAGCCCTGGACCCTGTTCCTGTTTGTAGGCACTTTAATCCACTGAGCTATTTGGCTGGCCCTTCCTTTTCTTTTTCCCTTTTTTTTTTAAATCACAAAGAGCAGCCTTTTTTTTTTTTTTTTTTTTTGCAGCGCTGGGGATTGAACTCAGGACTTTTATTCTACTGAGCTATCTCTCCAGCCCTTTAATCACAAAGAAAACAAAAATTATTCATAATCCTACCACCTGCTTAGTATCTTATGAAGGGTACTTTTGAAGTATTTTCCTGTGTGCCATGTGTGTTTGTGTGTACTCAGTAAATAAATATATATCAATAGAAAATCTGATATCATAGTTTACTGTTAAAATCGTATCACTGATATTTTCTAGTAAGTTATTTTACTAGGTGGTTACTACATAAATATGTGAGTACACCAATTTACATAAATAATGTTGTGCTGGACATTTAGGTTACTCCCAATTCCTAAAGGCACTGATTATCATTCTTAAAAATGGCTAATTTACGAAAGAATGTGTATTTCATTGTTGCTCATGCTTAAATGTTCTTGACTGAAAAAGTATCAAATGACCATTTATCTGTTTTCTTTAATGAACTGCCCATGAAATAACTACCAACTTTCTACTGGGCTATTTAGGTTTTTTAAATATTTATTTATAATTGTTAGTAAACCAAAGATACAGAATGCTCTCTCAGCCTATAAATAGTTTCCCAATTTTCTTTTAGTTTTGTTGCTCTTTTCTCTTGCTTTTTGCCAGAGGTCTGGAACTTGTGCCTTTACCAGCCTGAAACAGCGGGAGAGCACTGTAGGGACAGAGAACAAATTCAGTCCTGCATCCTTAGGCTGCTACACAGTCTTCAAACGTGCTTCTGCTGAAAAATAAACACACACAAAAAAAAATCTAAAAGGGCCAGGGAGATGGCTCAGTAGAATAAGCGCTTGCCTGGCAAGTGCAAGGGCCTGAGTTCAATCCCTGGT